GAACTTCCTATTGCTTAGAAATTACCCAGTCTGTGTGTTTTGTTAGTCCTGACTGGACTAAGACAACATCCATTTGCTGTTTTTGATTTTCAGAGTTAATAATATCCACGGATCCCATGGGAGGCAAATGTCGTCCATGTCCCTGACATCTGCCCATACAGTCATCTTCCCGACGTGATTCCCTTGGGTTATGAGGTCCGTCTTCACCATTTATGTTTTTACAGTGTGTAAATATACTCACAGCTAGGCTGTGTAGCCACTAGGGTGATATTTTCTTCCTAGTAAGACTTTCTGTTTACACTGGTTTAACAATTATCTAGCTTTTTGTTTATCTAGCTTTTATTTTTTCTATATGGAGCACTAATTCATTTGCCAGAAGTAGAAAACTCTCCTCAATGTGTAAGCTCTCGATTCCCACTTCCCCACCCACTTAGACAAACTATTCTGGAACGTTCCATCTTCCTTCTTCAGTCTGGACTGTTGACTTTTGGTCCGCTCCCCCCACGTACCCTGGGGTATCTGGCTACAAGGGAGGCTGGGGCATGTAGACTCCGTGGATGGCCACATGTCCAGATAACAACTGCAAGAAAAAGAGCAGTCCAGTAGGGACAACTCGGAGCCCCCGCCATGGTGTACTTTCTTCTTTCCTGGTCTACGCCTTCGTGTGGACGGAGCATGTCCTCCAGCAGCTTTCTAAGAACAGACATTTATTTAGGTGGAAACTACGCACCGCAAATCCCTCCCCTTGGACGGTCTCCGCTCATGGATGGGACGGTAGCAATTATAACCTAAGCTGAGGCTGGAGAACCATGTCTTGCAGCTCATCTCACTGCTCTCGGGGACCAGGGGCCCTCACATGGAGGTAATGAGAGTCAAGTGTCAGCAAGATGCCACCCATGAGAGTGGGGCTGTTCTAGAACACGCAGCTCCAGCCACTCCTCCCGGTTCCCTCGCAGAACCTCACAGAAACAGCAAATGCTTGCGTGTTTTAAGGTACTAAATTTTGGGGTGACTCATTACCCAGCAAAAGCTGAGACAGACCTTGCGTGTGTGCAAAGGTCTTTTATTTCCCCGCCACATACAAGTGGTGGTTTGACAGCAAATTCTAGGTTAGAAGGATTTCTGATTTCCTCTAAGAGTTTGAAGGGCACCCCTTTACCTTCTAGCTTCGCTTCCTGCTCTTGGGACGCCTGTGATATTCTGATTCTGCTGAGCAGTCTCGCCTGGTCCTCCCTGGCCCTGGTGTCCTGGTGCTTCAGCATTCTGTCACTGTGCCCAACACTGTGGTCTTTCAGTCTGGAGTCTAAGGTTCTCCCCTCTTCTTTGGTGTTGCCTTCTTGACCTCCTACTTGGTTGTTGAAGTCTCAGAATGCTTAGGTATTTTTCCCTGACATTCTGATTTTTAAAATCCTACTTCTTGAGCTGTCTCCTCAGCTGTATCCTCCAGTCTCTGCAGACAGCTCTATTCCTGCAGCGACACTTCTCATTTTCCGTGACTTCTGTTCTTTGAGCATCTCCTCCTCTGTGCCCCCTGTATTCTCTCTTCTCTGTGCAGACATATCTGAAGGCTCCCATTTCTTTTCTTTCTGTGTTCCTCTTGGTCTTTTCCACAGCAGGGCTGTCCCCACGTGTCTGGTGGTCGTTGGCCGTCTGCTTGAGGCTCAGTACACAGTGACACGTAGCAGCTGCCAGGAGCTTGAGTGGTGCCAGGAGGGAATGCCCTGGTCCAGCTGACCCATGTGCACCCTCCAAATTAGAGCCCGGGTTTTTCTCAGGCTCTCCAGTGACCCTGCTTGGAGCCTTTCCAATGTCCCCTGGCCTGGACATGGTGGTCGTTACCCATTCTGGGTTGGCCTCCCCACCTCCAGCTCCTGCTTAGCCCGAGGCCCCTAGTGCAATCCTGTCCCATCCTCTTTCTGTGGGGTGAGCCAGACGCTCCTTAGGGAGCCTGGGACAGGTGTGCCTTGCTCCATCTGCACCCCATCTTCAAGGTCCTGGGGTCTCCGGGGCCAGAGCCTCTGGGGTTCTCTGGTGTAGACATTTTCTTCCTGGGTATGCTCACTGCTGGCCAGGGCTCTGCCTCTGCACTACTGCCCACTGCTCACTTCTAAAAGCTTAGAGTCCATGGCCTCTCCTACTCTTGGCTGTCATGGCATCCATGCTCCATCTCTTTCCTGTCACCTCAGGGCCCCTCAGGAGAACAAGCTGGCTGTGATGTTTGTCAGGCTTCTCTGGGCCCCTGCACAGGGGGCCACCTTAGTTCAAAGAGGTTTCACTGAGCAGGTGGGCAGCAAGGACAGTCAGTGCCAGCCTGGGCCAGGCATAAGGCACAACCTCCCTACAGGCGGTGCCAGTGCTGGGGGCCTGAGATATGACTGAGGATGGGGTACAGGAAGGGGGCAAGGGTCAGAGGGACCCTGACCTGCCTGTAGCTGAAGAGGCAAGGCTCAAACTGGCAGCTTGGGTTTCTCGGGGAGCAGAGGGTACAGTTAGCTCCAGGAGTGCAGAGCTCAGGTCAGAAACATCCACGGACTAGCCCCAGCAAGGGCCTGGTGCTGCCTGGTGGCTGGAAAGTCCAGGACAGCTGGCAAACACAACGGTGGGCTCTGAGGCAAATCCTGGCCAAGTGTCACATGTAGTAGCTTTGGGCAAGTCTCCTGCCTATTATGTACAAAATGGAGGAAATACGGTGTCTTCTTTGTCGGGTGATCACAGAGTGTGGACAAAGATGGAGCTTACACAGCTCTTTGTGCCATGCACAGCTCAGAGCATCCCCATCATATAGTAAAGACACAGTGTGGAGAGACTGGCAGGCACAGATCACGTGGGGACCCCGACACCAAGCCCAAGCCTGAATGTCATCCAGTGGGTGTGGGGAACCTCAGAGCTTGAGGGCTGGAAAGCAATGAGACCCCAGGGTTTTTTCAGGGGAGTATGGTCTGAGAAACCTGGGATGGGCTGGGGCGGCGGGGGGCAAACTTGAGTACTGCTTCTTGTCCTGATCAAAAGCTCCATATGAAGCCTGCCCAGATGGGCTGAGCACAGGCCCAGCATAGTTGGGCCCCGTAGTGTGGCATAGGCCCAGCGTCCCAGCTACTCTGGTTCTGGGCACGCCCTGCCCGTCTCTCTCCTCTATCCTTCTGTCAGCTCCTCTGCCTCCCGTAGCCCACTGAGTCCTGCAGAAGCGTCCCAGGAGAGGCCCCTCACTACCCTAGGGAAAGCCAGGGTGGTGTCACAACAGATCTAAGCACGGCCTGCTCTGCAACCTTAGCAAGCCTGTGAGCCATTCTGAGCAGCTTCATCTGTGAACAGGGCAGCGCGGTCCCACCTGAACGGGTGTCTGTGTGATCTCAGGACCCAGGCACAATGGCCCTGGGGCTGCTGTGATAAATGAGTGCAAACTTTGTGGCTTAAAGGACACACTTTTATTATCATAGAGCCCGGGGGGCAGAAGTCCAACCTGGGTCTGCGTGTGTGAGAAGTCAAGGCGTGGTGGGGCTGGCTCCTTCTGGAGGCGCTTGGGGGAGAAACGTTTTCTGGCCTCCCCTAGCTTCTAGAGGATGCCTGGCTTGGTTTGTGGCCCCTCCTCCATCTTTAGAGCCAGCAGTGGCTCTAAAGTGCCCATACCATACCTCTCTGACCTGTTTCTGTTGTCATGTCCCCCTTCGAATTCAGCCAGGCATGGTTCTCCACTTTAGAGGACCCATGAGGTTCGATCCAGCCCACCTGGATCATCCAGGACCATGTTCCCAGCTCAAGGTCCACAACCTTCATCACAGCTGCAGAGCCCCAGGTGCTCCATCACGGTTGGCTCAAGTTCGATTTGGTGACATAGTGTCAGTCACCACCCTGAGCAACTGTGTCATGTGGGTACTTTCACCCTGGGGGCTTAAATGGAACCCCTCCACTTACAGGCTCTGGGTATTTAGACACAAATTAAATGACTTAATCCCTGATCTTCAGTTAATGGGGTCCTATCCCATACCCTGCAGAAGGGGTACTGTGCACCTCTGAGATCACACCAGCAGTGACCTCACTGGCCAAGGAAGGAACTTTATCACACCATTAACCATCCAGCGGTCTTGAGGAGTGTCACGCTCTCTGTGTACATGTGGGGATAGAGAGCTTAGCCAGGAAATGGGCTTCTCCCTCCTCCTGACGCTGCCCTGGGGGCTGTGTACCGATGGAGGAATCCTCTGCCTCCATCCTGCTGGGTCTGTCTGAATGGAGAAGGCCTTGACCATGATCGGCATGGCCGGCACTCTGGGTGGGGTGCAGGGAACCAGGGTGCAAAGCCCTCCCCTCATGTGCTACTGGCAATCGGTGTTAATGCTCTGTCCCAAACAGTCAAAGTGCCTCCTGACATCTCCTATAGTCCAGGAGACAGCCCTGGACTTGCAACCACAGCGCAGGTAGGACGGGGCCTCTCTGCCTTCCCGAAATCCGAGTGCAGGGGGAGGGGGGTGACCCTCCACTTGGTCATTCATTCCCAGGACCCCTGACCCCAGCCCATGTGTGCTGCTGGCAGGACAGCACTGGGCCAAGAGCTACCCACTCCAGCTGGATACCAGGCCCATCTGTGCTGCTGTGACCTTCAGCTAACCCTTTGCCTCTCTGAACCTCAGTTTCTTCATCCGAACCACAATCTCATGGGGGCATGTGTGAACATTTGCAAGTCACAGCGGGATATGCACACCTGGTTGGCAAGAAAGCCACCCATCACTGATGGAGCACAGCACTTTATAGGCACAGTCTGAGGGGCCTTGACTCCTATCCACATGCTAGACCTGGGAAGTTGACAGCCTTACCCGATCCATTTTCCCTCACTCTGGCTTCAGGGTCAGGAAGGCAGGAGACAGCACAACCTCCCCAGGGAACCAGGTCCCCAGTGTGCCCTCCCGCCACACTGCCCCTCCCAAGTCGGCCTCATTCAACACAGGCCGCACAATGAGCCTCTCCTAGACGTAACATTTGTTATTTTATTGGAAAAAGCTGGTATTAACATATTTATAATTTTATTCAACAGTTGGATAATTTGTGAGACACTGAAGAAAGAAAGAACGCACCTATGAGTTAGAGTCCAAAGCAATCAGGCCCGACTATGTTACACCGCGTACCCCACACCCCACACCACGGAGGGCTTTATTCTCAGAGAATAGTCAAATGAAAGAAAAAACCCCAAATCCTAACAGCTCCACAATGACTATGCGAACACCTATACATTCCAGAAGACCAGAGAGTTTAAGCAGAGTAAAGATGCCAAGTTGGTGACGATGGCTCTGGTCCTCCCACCATGTCTAGCTCTGCCCCTCCCCCCATCTTTTTCTCCACACACATTTTATTATTCACAGTCTGCTTTGGCCATGGTTATTTTCCAGGGATCCAAAGACACACTTTTCTTCTGGGAGGATCTTTTTCCGTCTTCCTTTCTGGCTTGATACCCAAAGTTTAAAACAGAAGTAAGGAACTAGCAACGGTGAGTAAGCCTCCCCTTCCCCCTGCCGTTTTGAAGACCCTGTAAGACTTGAACCTTGAATATGGGAAATGTCAAACCTATGATTTGACAGGAGCTTCTAGCTTCAAAGGCAAGTTTCCTGTCTTAACATCTGAGTCACAAAGGGAGATGGGATATGCCAAATACCCAAGCAGTTGTGTAAGGCCCTCAGACCTGGATTTTGGCTTCGACAAGATTTCTATACAATTTACCACATTCTCGAACCTCTTTACACGGGGGTAAGTCATCTGATCCTTTGATTGTTAAATTTAATTAGGGTAGATATGTACATATAATACTGTCCAGGTCACCTGGATTTTACAGTAATATATAAACAAACATTCTTCATTCATGTTGATTAAAAAAAAAAACCTAATGGCCCATTGTTGTGTAAATATCATATGGCTGGAAGTGAGGGCACATGCGTTTTGTGCTTTTACACACACAAAAGTACACGGAAATCCACTGAGGAAAATCTCAGGTGGCTCTGTTTCCTGGGTGATGGTCCATGTTGTAAAAAAAAGAAATGAATGAATGACCTTGGCTTCCACCGGGCCCCCCGTCTGCACTCTGCTTTCAGAATCAAAATGCCAGTTCCACAAGCAAGAATGACACAGGTGGGGTCACTGTGGAGGAACAGTGGGGGGATCCCAAATAAGTGTCTTCTGGGGCTGTGTGTGGTCCTCAAAGAAAACACCAGAAAACGGGTGCCAGATGCGGTCTCAGGAGTTCAGCGGGCAGGAAATGTGGGGTGAAGGGTGGAATGCCAGGAGGCACCCTGGTGTCACCACGCTGAGTAGGAGTCACGGAGGGTTCTCTCCATCTTCCCTCCAGTGTTACCATGTTATCAACATACCTGCTTCACAAGACTGAGAGATGTTTCCCTTCCAGAACCTTCCACTGGAATGTTGCTTAATATGAACCACCAACGTGGTGGGCTGGAGAGAGCCAGTGTGGAGACCTGGACGGGACCCCTGGCCTACCATTTGGAGGAGCCCTCCTTGGGCAACCTGTTTCTCTGCTCAGAGCCTCAGTTTCCCCCAAGCGTACAAAGGGGAAGATAATTATTCACTTTTTATCTCTGGTTCCAGAGCAGAGCCTGGCACTCTGCAGGCAGTCAGTGTTCATGGAGGAAATGAAGGAACACCCAGCTTGGGGTTGGGGGGGGTCACGAAGTTCAGTGTGGGTTATGGAGGATGACCAAGGAGCATGGAAGGACGTTGGCAAAGCTACTGCAGAACAGGCTGCTGGGAGCCATTTGATGCCCCTCCAGGCCAAGCACCAAACCCAGCGTGGAAAAGCTGCTCAATAACGGTGGACAGTGAGATGAGGAATCCGGACACACAAGAGATCCCCACCCCTTCTGCTCGGGAAGCTGCGCCAGCCTGGGACCTGGGACACAGAAAGTCACTCTGCACACCCAGGCCAGGGACTGGTATCAGTCAATGCTCAGTGCTCACGGTCCAAAACCCCAGGTGGCCTGGCAGCTCTGAGCCAGGGCATCTTGCCTTTTACAGTCAAGAACCCTGCAGCTCGTTTCAGCTTCAGGTGGGTCCCCAGAGTATGCTGGGGACCACTCAGTTTTCTGCAAAAGGACCCTCAGGAGGAAAAATTAACCCTGACCTGTAGGAAGTCATAACAATGTTGGAAAGAGCGCAGACTGAGACGGGGAGCTGCGTGAATGAAAGAACCCTGAACTGAGACCCGCCAGTCATAAGTCTCTTTTATGACCTGTGGCTAGTGGATCCTTCCAGTCCCTTTTTAAAACACAGGCCATCACCATCAAAAGGTGACACCAGGCTAGGGAAAGCTGGTGGGGGGGACAGGGTCCAAGTAACCCGTGTCCCACCATGGCACCTCTGTGGTTGTCCTCCCCTCCCGTGTTGGGACTGTGAAGGTCAGGTCAGGGGTGACCTTCAAGAGGCTGGCTGCGAGAGGCAGCTTCTGTCCACTAGTGCATGTCGGAATTGACCTTGTCCTGGAAGATGTAGAGGTTGTTGGTGGCTGCGATGGCAATGATGTTCTCAGCTGGGTGCCAGGCCGTGTGCAGGATCTTCTTGGTGAAGTCCAAGCTGTCCACACTGATGTCGTCCCGCCGTCGCTTGCCGCCTACACACACACGCCTCGGCTTCAGCACAGCCCTGGGCTTGCTGCTCTCCCTCGAGGCCTCCAGGGTCACATCCCGCTTGGTGTTCCGGTCGAACATACGAAAAAAGTTGTTGTAGGCCCCTGTCATGATGACGCTGGGGGGAGAAGGAGCGGGTCAGTGGGGGAGCGGGGGGAGAGAGAGAGAGAGAGAGAGAGAGAGAGAGAGAGACAGGGTCCTGAGGCTATGGTCCATCCCTCCCTGGGAAGGAGCCCATGTCTGCCTCAATACCACTTTCTCTTGGGGTCTCGCCCTTTTACATTTCAGCTGTCATCTCCTCTCCGACACTGGGGCCAAGAGCTAAGACTGCTAATGTTCTGACAAGAACAAGTGCCCTCCTGCCACTTCCTACAGTCCAGGAGACAGCCCTGGACTTGCTCCCATGGGGAAGTAACACCAAAGACGCAGGGGTTTAGCACCGTGGCTGACCTAGGGCCTCTGACCCAGCAGACCCACCTCCCCACTAGGTGCGGAGGATCCGGGTGCGTGGATGAGCGCTCACTGCTGACGGCCAGCCCGCCCTGGAGAGACTTCCATGTTCGTGCATGCTGCCTCTCTCCTCTCCCTCCCCTAACTAGGGAGTTCTGTCCCGTGAGACACAGGACACCTCTGTCCCCGGACACCTCAGAAAGCAAGCCAGCCAGCTGCATGGGCCTGGGCCCAGAGCAGAGCTCTGGGGGCAACTGAGGGGTGGAAGAGGAAGGGGGCTCCTGTCCCATGTTTGGGGGTAGGGATGTCCACTACAGTCCTCTCTCTCCTGGGAGCTGAGTTGTGCTTCTGAGGGGACAGGGGACCATGGAGTCTGGGGATTTTGAGGCGATGCATAGACAGGAGCCAAAGTGCAGAACAGTGGGGGCTGGCGGACGGGGGCTACACAGCCCAGGAGGAGTGTCTGTAGGGACAGGAGTGCTGGGGTCTGCACAGCCCAGAAGGGGTTTTATGAAGCACCCAGGTAGCATGGGGGCCCTGGATGATACTGTGACAGAGGGTGGAAGTAATACATCTCTGCAGCACTGGCTGTGGCTGTCACCTCCTCTGCCACTCAACTGGTGGGCTCTGTTGCCTATGTCCCCATGGCCTCCAGTCCCATCTGGTGCAAGACTGACTTGACCTCACAGGGTTAGGGGGAGGAACCAGTGGGTGACCAGAAAAGAGCACTGTAGATAAGTTTTACAAATGCTTTAGAAGGTGCCAAGGGAGCCACAAGGGAAAATGCACTGCTCTGGGGCTGGTATATTTGGGGAGGGTCTGTCGCCCATGAGCCCCAGGCCTGAGAGAGAAGAGCTACCAGAGAGAGAGGAGGGGGAAGACAGAGACACAAAGGGTGAGAAATGGAGAGACAGAGAGACTGAAAGAAACAAAAGGACTAAGGGGGAGGGAGCAAGGTCTGTGAAGAGGCCGCCGATCAGAACAGGGCCTGGAGAAACACAGCCTGAAACAGTAGGGCACAAGGGGCCCCTGTTGGATGAATCCACTAAGAGCCAGAGGGCATGGAGGCCGTGTACCTGCAGGGACGAGGGGGCAGCAGGAGCGGGGGGTGGCACAGTGGCAACACTGCTTGCATGCTCGAATGGCCACCCTCCCATTCGGGCTCTCAGTGGGTATGTCACCTGTGTCTCCACTATTGGGTGGAGGTCCAGGTGGGGCCTGTCTTATCTACAAGTCTCAGCCCTGGCTTGGCCTGGGAAGAGTGTCAGTGACCAGAAGAGGACTCCAGCCTGGGGAGGTGACAGTGCAATGAGTGCTGTACATAGAGAAGGGACAGAGAGGCCGGAACCTTCTCTCCTTCATGGCCCAAATGACAGGCGCAGTAGGTGCTGTCCTGCAGGAGCTCACTTGTGCCATGTGACCAATGAACAAATGAATGAATGCCAGGAGGGGCACCCACAGCCACAGCCACCCTCATAAGTCCCAGCTGGATGGGAAATGACCTCGCTAGCCATTCCTCTGCACAGGACATGGAACAGGACAAAGAGATGTGTATGTGTGTGTGGGAAGCTTCCCGAGGTCATCAGCCAGCGTGGTGGTGGGGGGAGCCCAGGGATCCTGTGTCTACTGGGGCAGAGGGAGGGAGGAGGGAAGGAGGGAGGAGAATTCTGATATATTTTCTGGTTCTTTTCTGTTCTGAAATTCTACCTCTAAAACCTTAATTTGTGGGAGGAGACGCTTTTCCTGCTGAGATAATGGCGTGACCTGGGCAGAGGCCCATGGCCAGAGTCTGCCCGGTGGGTGTCAGGGCTGCACCCCGGGCTGCTCGGTTATGGGGGCCCTTCCTGTGTGCACTCCTTCTCTCTCAGGGCTCTTGAAAGGCAGGTGCCAGATCTGTCTTGGGATCCTGTCCACAAACATGCTGAGCTTGAGAGGAAGGTGGATGTGGCATGAGGAGGTCGTGACTCCTCACCTTCCAGAAACATGGACAACCACTGGCTGGCCCCTCCTAAGGCCCCATGTGATGGACGGGCTAAGCTTGGGCTGAGTCCTGGCCCCACCCCGCAGGAGCACCCCTCCATTCAGGGAAGCAAATAAGAGCAGAGGTAAGGAGAAAACATGCCACAAATGCAAAGAGATGGGGGAAAGCCCAGGAGGGGCTGTGGGGCAAGGTGGAGAGGACCTGGAAGGCTTCCTGGAGGAGGTGACAGTACAGTGAGCCATGTGGAGCGGGCTCCAAGGAGCTTCTAGGAGACCAAAGTGAGCAGGGTGTGGAGGAGGAAACAGGAAGGCACGGAGTGGCAGCCGTGCGCGGGGCACACCTGTGGGCAGTGGTGGGTTAAGACGTAGGATGCTAAGACCTGGCACCGTGGTGGACAGGTGGAGTGGCAGTGTGAGCACTTACCCTCATACATGCATGGTGGTTGGGTTGGAGCCCCTGGTACAGCAGTAAGCCCCTAGCCTGCGAGGCTAACGGGATGCCCAGTGTTCACCACGGAGCCCGCAAATGTGTCAGGGCTGAAGCTCGGACAACTGAGGAGCCCTGCCTCCAGGATGGCTCCCCTGGTCCTGTCCCTTTCACTGCACCCCGTTATCATCCCAGCCCTGAGCCCAAAGCCACGGAGGGTCATAGCAGGGCTGCTCTTATGTGAGCACAGCAGCACACACAGGCACATGCATGGACACACTCCCCTGGAGGACGCTGGAGTAAGGGGCTATGGCTCTCACCCCACCTCTTCTCACCCACCATGTGGATGGATAGCAGGGGAGGGAGGTGACGCACGCTCTGATAAGAAAATGGGGCAGGCGATTTTTATCTCACCCCCTGGAGGCCCTGACAGGTCCCTCTTAGCTTCAGAGCTACAGGAAAGCTGAGCCCTACAGGACCTGAGCAAGGCGGAGCAAATGGAGGAGGGCCTCCAAGCCAGAGGGGGACCCCTGGGCCATTGGGGTCCACACTGAGGTGAGGCTCAGTACAGGCAAGGACCCCTGCCATGCCCACTGGGGCTGAGCCAGCCCAGGCTGTGGCCACATGGGAGCTCACATCACATCCCAGGTAGTGGGGCCAGGAGAGGTGGCTGGATAGGGGGATCCCGACCAGGCCTGGAAGGTGCCCGAGCTGTGAGGTGCTCCTGACCCCCCGTTGGGTCTCCTCGGGGCCGCAGCCCAAGGATGGTGGGGGGGAGGGAGTGGACCAGTCATCTCAGGGCGTGCGGTGTGGGCGATGACAGCGACCAAGCACGGCAGGCCTCAAGGAGTCTGAGGCGCTGGTGTACAGCTCTCACCGCAACAGCCCAGGGAACTGACACCTGGTTGAGGGCCCTGGATTGTCTGTATGTCCTACGCTGCCCTAGAACAGGAGATGAAGAAAGCCTAGTTCCCTGCCACTGGACTTGGGCCCCAGGGTTGCCGCTAGAGAGGAAGGAGGGCTCCCATACCTGGACCCCCAAAGTGTAGTAACTGGTGGTGGCCTGCAGGACACAGCCCTCCCAGGGCCAGGCCCAGCTCACCTGTCGCTGCCATTCCAGGCACACTCGAACTTGTCAAAGATGCAGTCGCTCTCGTACAGGGAGCAGAGCTTGCTCCGAAGGTAGTCGTGGACCTGGTGAGAGGAGGGAGCAGCTGAATGCTGGCACCTGACTGCCCTGGCCTCCCGTGGGGAGGGTCTCAGAGAGCGGCAGGGGCTGGATGACCCCAACAGCCCTGCTCAGGGGTGCAGGAAGGGCCTGCACGGGCACCAGGCACCGGCCGCAGGTTCTCCCGGGCTCTGAGCAGCTCCTGCCCCCTGGTGGCGGGAAGAGGAAGAGCGTCAGCTCCAGGAAAAGCAGGAGTGAGCTCAGCCTCTCTGCCCCCCACATGATGCCCTGACTAGACAGCTGGGGTTTTGGGTGGGGGGTCTGCACTCCCATGCGATGCTGGCTCAGAAGGCCAGTGCGGAGGGTCTAGATGTCACCTCCCCATGTCACTACGGCACAAGCTATTTACAGCTGCTCCCTGGGAGGGGTGGTGCACCACTTAGCAGTCCCACTGCACATGCTGGGACGGGGAGGGACCACAGTCAGCACCCCGAGTCCAGGTCCAGCCCGTCTCATCCTTGATCCCTCTCTCTCCCCTCTTGGACAGTGAGGATCTGGGCCCCAACTGCAGGCCTGGCGTGGGGTGTTTGGGGCTTCCTGGAGTCAGGACTGAGTGGCTCTCCTGTCCGTGGATCTGCGTGGGGAGGCAGCCTGGTTTCCTGAACCTCGTTCTCTTCACCTACAGAATGGGGCAGATGGATGCCCTCCAGGGCTGGGAACCTCTGTGGGCTTTTCAACATAGGAAGGGTCACTTGGGGAGGTCTCACGCCCCACAGATGAGTCCCCCGAGGTTTTTGGGTGGCAGTGCCCACCTGGTAGGTCTCTATGGGCCTTGCTTCCATGTTCAGGTCCCAAACCTTGACGGTGAGGTAATCCCGTGTCAGCATGTACCGGCCGCTGTGGCTGAATTTCACGTCAGACACAGATGAGATGATTTCTGAGAAGAAGGAGCGGTTGCTGGGGTCCTCGGGCTCTTCAAAGACTGGAGACAGAGAATAGATGGCTATCACCGGGCTGCCCACGGGTTAGAAAGTTTCCACCGGGACTCAGATGTCTAATGGTTTTTCATTCACTCGTCAAACCTGTAACTAAACACTGACCAGGCCTCTGATCCTTCAAAAAGGGAGCAGCCAGCTCTTGGAGGGACTCATTTGCAGGAACAGTGACTACTGCGCACTTTTCATGAGTCAGATTCTGTGTGTGACCTCATTGAAACCCCTAATAAAATAACTTAATATTCTCATTTTATAGCCAAGAAAACTGAGGCCCCTGGCTCTAAACCACATCCCAGGTCTGAGCTGGAAGGGGTGAATTTGAATCCAGAGTGATGCTTGCCATGCTGCCCTTTCCTGCCCCCCTAGCAGTGAAGCAGAACATCAGACACAAAGTGTCCACATTCTCCAAACATTGTCCTCCCTGGCCTGGGCACTGCCTCTGTTCATTGTGTCCCTGGTACAGAGTCTGGTGGGGACCAGGACCCCTGCCGGGGCCAACATGGAGTCCCTGGGTTCTAGGGGATGAGGACGGTATGGCTAGGGCTTAGCCCTGAACAACCTGTCCATCTGTCCCCATGGAAATTGGTGCATGGCAGCCCTGCCTGCCTGCTCTGCTCTCCTGGCCGGAAAGGAAGGCAGACACTGACCACGGGGCTCATGAAAGCCCTCCTTACCAGCCACTCCAGGTCACGGGGTATCACACCCTGCATCCCTGCCCTCCATCCCTTTCCTGTCTAAGCGCCACCCTATCCAGTGCCTGCAGGGCATCTGGAAACTGCTACACCTCATCAGACACTCTCTTGTGCTATTGTGGTCAGCCAGTCAACCAACCCACAAGGAGTGGCCCTACAACAGGGGCACAGATCTGCCCCTGGAGCCCCCAGAAGGAGCCTGCCAGGCTCCCACACCTTGACTCTGGGTCTCTGACCTCCAGAACTGTACAAAATCCAGCTGCACTGTCTTGAGCTACAGAGGGGAGAGAAGTCCCCTGGTCCAACTGTAAAGTGGGCAGCACCCTCCACCCAGGGGCTCAGGAGGGGGCAGAAGCCCACCCAGAATGGCATGGGCACTGTTAACACTCAGCCAATGTGAGCCGCAGGGATTATCCTGCCCAGTAGGGTCCCACAGAGGGTCTGGACTGTCATCAACCCTTTTTAAGAACCCTCCAAGCTCCAGCACAGCCCAGCCCTTCCTTCTGACAGCTTGTGCTGTCAAACACAGAAATAACAGTCTATTTTGAGGACTCACGATGGTCGTTTCCATGGTTACCCTGTCACAAAGCCTGGCAGACAAAGACCCGGGTTTCTAGTGCTTCAGAGAGAGATAAGAGCCAAGGACGAAGGAGAGAACAGGGCGGCCTGCAAGCCCCCAGTGCAGCCCTGGTACAGGTGGGTCGAGGACCCTCGGTCTCCTCATCTGTCCAGTGAGCAGAAATGGAACAATCTCCCATTTGTCCAGGATGCCTGTCATTCAGTGAACAGAACATCATGGTTTCTTCCTGTTAGGGACATGACAGGGGACATCGGGTGTTGCTACCAGCTGCTCCCTCAGTTTTGAGCAGTGAACAGAAAAGCTAGACAAGTAGCAGGTAAAGAAGGAGTCTGATCTCCAGGGCTCTAAAAACATGTAACTGGAATACCAACCACGCATGCCCAGGAAGAACAGTCACCGCCACACACTAGTTGGGAAGTGGCTGTTTGCTTGACTTCTCATGAGAACGGAGAACAAACCCGGTCTGGAGGAGGCACTCAGAACAAATCTATCAGCCACTCACTAACTAGGCGTGGCAGATTCAGTGGGATGGGGAAAGACTGTGGGGTGGGGTGGGTGGCTCAGTGGTAGTTCGCCGAGAGAGAAGAGACAGATTTGTACAGGCAAAGAATGAAACAAATTCTAGAAAAAGTTTTAAATACAGAATTAACTCCATCAGAAAACCTACATAAGCCTCTAATCCAAAAAGAAATTAAACCGATTGTTTAAACAAAAATTCTCTCCCTCAAAAGGATATCAGATCAGTTTACATGCCAGCCTCACCAAGACTTCAAGGGGCAGGTATGCTATACCGACTTGCAGAAAAAAGGCAGAGGGCGGCCCAGCTCACTGTAGGAGGGTTGAATGATGTGAATAAAATCAGGCAAAAAGCCTGGGAAGAGAAATCACAGACCGATGTCAGCAGGTGTGGGCAAAGCAGACCACATGCCGCCCAGCACTGCCACCTTGCAAGGCTGGCCTGGGGAGGGCCGCACACCTGGATGTGGCCAAAACTCCTGGGCAGCCAGATGACAGGCCCTCTGAACTCTGCAGGACACACCTGGCCATGTCACCAGGCTGCCAGTGCTGCTTCCTCCACCCCTTAGCCCTGCAGGGCCTTCTAGAACCTGAGTGTCACAGGGAAAGATGGAACCATCCAGCCCTCAAGTTATCGCTCCTGGCAGCCCAAGGAGATGGGGGCAGGAAGAAGAGTTAAGCTGAGTCAGTGAAAATGACCTACTGTTTCTTCCCCTCTTGAGCTTATGGATGGATTCATCTGAGGCTCCTTTGTCACCAGACGCAGGACAGTCACAGGCCCAGGCATCTGTGCCTGGGCTCGGGAAACGCACATGGGGCTCGCAGTGGCAGCCCAGGGCAGCCGTTCCCTCACATGCCTGGGGATCTGAAGACTCGGGGTACCAGGGCCCAGGGGCTCCCACCTCCACCTGCACTGAAGAAGGTCCCCGGAGTGACACAGGGCACACAGCACAGCCTGTCCCGAGCCAAAGTACAAGTAAAACCCTTCTGCCACACGTTTTCTGACTCGAGGTTTAGATCTGTTCTCAACATACAACCGTATGGCGATGTGCACACAAAATACCAACCGCCACCCTACAGCCCACCACTGGGGCCATGTCTTGATGTGAACCTTTCCGGCACTTTCTCTGCTTCCATTGTTTGGTAATGGAAAGACTGTCACTGCTCTGTCTTTTTCATTCCTCACGGAATCGCATTAAAAATCTTCTAAAACAATATTTGAAATGACTGAACAATAGTCCATCATCTGGGTGTCATGGACATCAGCTTACTGTTCACTGTGCTGGACACTTCTGCCCTCCAAGGACCATGTGCCTCGAAGCCTGCTGCCCACCCGCAGGGCTCGGAGGGGCCCAGGCGTGTCTCTCCTCCTCACCTTATTCTCTGCACTGATGCAGAGCTCAGGCGCACATGTGGCCGGGAGCAGCAGGCAGTGGGCATAGGGGCTGGGCAGCACCCGTGGAGGGCATGGTGGACCCAGCCATGTCCCTTCCTAATGTAATGGGCACTTAGAAGAGGCTTTTGCTAAAAAGCACTGACTGCTCACTTGGGCTTGCACGTGTCCAAAGGGGAAGTAAAGGTGGGAGAAAAGCTTGGCATTCTTGCCTCCATTTTGTGTCTTTGTTCTGAGCCATTCTCTCTGGTTTTTCAGTCACTCTAGAATATAGGAAGGTCAGGGCTGATGGATAAACACTCTGTGACAGGAGACAAAGCCACCCCCTGCCAGGAAGCAATGACTTTCTTACTGTAACCAGGTAATGAGATAATGAGCAACTGGCTACCTCAGACCACCTCTGACCACTGGACACTTGTGCCCAGGACTGTCTATGTGACCTCTCACCCAGCCCCAATTCTTCATCTGTTTAACCTAAAGCTTGGATCTACCCCAAAGCAGCTGAAGTGTTTCCTGTGCCTCTTCCCTCTGCTGCCTGTGTCATGTAATAAGCCTCTATTCTCCTTCACCACTGCTCTTTATGTGGCATGTTAGGACGAGTGGCTGGACCTGACATGTGGAAACTTGGAGGGTTGGGCCTGTGGCCCAGGACTCCAGTTCCGCTAATCCACAGAACCTGTGATAGTCAGGCTACGTGCCAAGGCAGAATTAAGGTCCAAGATGGAATCGAGGCTGCTCATTGGCTGACTGTGACAAGGGAAGCCACCCTGGAGCACCCAGTGGGCAACAGTGTGACCGTAAGTGTCTTTGTAAGTGACACAGGGAGGCAGTCATAAGAAGGACTCAACCAGCTGTTGCTGGCACTGAAGACAGAGGGAGAAGTCTGGAATGAGGAAGGTGGCAGACACCTCCAGGAGCCAAGTGACAGGACAGCCTGCTCCCCAGCCCACGGAGGACCCTGCCAGGCCCACACCTGGTTCTAGCCAATGGGACCACTCTCATCTGACTTGTTTTAAGCTGCTCAGGTCAGGGCTGTGGATATGCTGGTCCCAGGAAGCAGATCCAGCCCAGGGACTGGGGGTCGGATCTGGCTGTGTCCACACTCACCCGGGCACCCCACCTGGTCCCTTGGCCTCCCTTCCTGTCCACATGTTGATAACTTCCCCAGCTTCATCCACCCAGACTCCAGGACTCCAGACCTCCAGACCTCCACGTCTGGCCACCGACAGACCCCCGCTCCTCAGAGCCCATAATAACCCCCGTCCTCATGCCCCAAATCTGTCACCCAGGTTGGTGTACCCTAATCCCAGCCACCACAGGGAACAGCCCCCCACCTCTCTGATGCTCACACCACACCTGGAAGTCACACTGCCTATTCACATTCCCCTCGGCAGAGGCTGACAGTTTGACTGGACTTTCGGGGACATGCAGAGTGGCCTCCAGGGGACCCTCTCCCTAGTCAGCCCATCTGCAGGCTGGTGCTCCTGTGGTACCCTCATCTCGTCCAGTGCTCGTCTCCTCTGCTCGTGCAAACTCCCAATCCTCCCCAGAATCCCACTGCATCCTCCCCTTGCCCCACAGCAGTGCCCTAAGTCCAGATGAGTCTGCACCCCATACCTGCCTGTCTTCCTCCGGCCATACTGCCCTACAGTGCAGTTCCCTCTTCTGGAACATTCTTCCCATGACAACCCTACAGTGAGACCCTCCTGGGCCTTCAATCCCTGCCTGACACTCTGACCTAGTCATGCTCCCGATGCAGCCCCATGGTGGAACTGGTGCCTAATGAATGCTGGTGGCACACAGGCAGGGACCAGCCTGCAGGACAAGAATGGGTGGGATGTGAGGACAGAACATGGCAAGGAAGGGGAGAAAACTGGAGGCTTTGAGCACCTGAGCCCAAGTCCCAGGGGACTGGTTCAGTACCTGCTCCTCTGTCCCCGAGAATGTGGCTGCCCAGAGAAGCAGTGTGGCCCCCCTTGCTAGGCCGGCCCTCCGCCACCCACACTGTGACTTTGCTGAAACCTCAAGGCAGAGGTCATCACTCACTCATTCAAGTGTTTATTTTCAGACACTGTTATAGGGCTGGGGACAGATGGAGAGGAGGTCAAGAAGGATGAAGCCCCACCCTGCTAGCTGGGCCCCAACATGCCTGGCCCATGTCCACCCATGCTGCCACCTCCACGCCACCCTGTCCTCCTCAGGACCCATGCACACTCACGCTTAGAGTGCTTGTCGCACAGGGCGGCCGCCCGCATGTCACAGAGCCGCAGCGAGCCCTTGCTGCTGCTGTAGACGAAGAGGTTGCAGTGGTGGGGGTGGAACTCGGAAGCCGTGATCACCTCTGTGAGGTCCTCCATGTTGGCTGGCTTTATGTCCACGATGTCTGGGGTGGTGAGGTCAAGGAAAGGCAGTAAAGGCATCCGTCCTCACTGTCTAACTTCCCTGAGCCCCCAACACCTCCTCCAGAAGACCTGTCTAGCACCAGGTCTGAGATGCCGCTCTGTTCTCAAGATCCCCGAGCATCCCAGCCCCAGAACTGCCAACCACACAGAGAACTGCCCACCTGCCACCCCTTCCCCATGCCTGTCCACTGGCCTTGGAAATCTGGCCTTACTGCCTCCCTCCTGACCCTTGCCCTCTCCCCACAGTGCTCATCCGCTGCCCAGTGCTGCAGTGACCATGGGTCTGTCCCCGCTGTCCACCTTCCCTTATCAGTTGCCAAGCAGGAAGAAAGGAGCACTTGTACCTACTGTACACAGGCCATGGACACTTTTTTTTTTGGATGTGGGACTGGGGTTTGAACTCAGGACTTCATGCTCGCAAAGCAGGCGCTCAACTGCCTGAGTCACACCTCCTCTCCATTTTGCTCTGGTTATTTTGGAGATGAGGGTCTCATAATTATTTGCCCAGGCTGGTCTTGAACCATGATCCTCCCAATCTCTGCCTCCCAAGTAGCTAGGATTATAGGCATGAGTCACTGGCGCCCAGCCTGTGGACACTCTTGGTGAACAGTTCTGCATGTATTACTGTAAACTGTCTGAAATCGAGGATGTGTCATATGTTGCCACTTGTCCCCACACCCACTCCTCCTCTTCTGTCCACAATACCAAGAAATCAAGATTGGTGGAAAAAGGTTCCCCTGCCTGTCTGGGCCACATGCCCAGGCCCCAGGACCTGGATACCTCATCCCTGCTGGGCTGGGTGGGTGAGAGGAGGGGCTCCAGTTTGCTGCTGTGACCAGAGGAACACCAGGGAAGAGACAGCTTGGAAAACAAGAGAGGAGAGAAAGATCTGGTGATGCCTTCTGAATCCCGGATCAAGCTGCACCTGAAGTCATTTTCCTTAGATTGCTATATATGGGGTCCAGTAAATGTCCAAGTTTTGTTTAAGAGTTAAGAATCTTGCAACTTGCAAAAGAAGTATCCCTGGCTGATACACTGTAGCACAGAGGGCAAGCACTTATCTAGGTGATGCAGTAGTGAGAGGCAAGGTTACATTCAGCTTCAGCAGGGCCTGCTCTTCTCCTGTCCATGCCGTTACCCAAAGCAGCAAGTCAGAAATCCTCTGCACAGCCCTGGAGGCCTGGCATATCCTGGCTTCTTGATAGTTTCAGCTTCACACCCTACTTGCGGCCCTGCCTGAACAGCATGCTCCTCCCTGACAGAGGCGTCCCTGGTCTCTGTCGCCCAGCCTGGCTCCCTGACTCAAACCCCCCTCTTCCTTGATGTAAGTCTTAGAACCAGAGGGGTCAGAGTTTGAGTCCAGGTCATCCACCTCCTGGCTGAGAGACCTTGAATGTTTCCCAGCAGTCCACACCTATTTCTCATCTGTGAAATGGGCTAATCTTCTAGCTTTATAGATGTGCTGTGGAGCTACAAGGAGGCCAAGCCCTTCTTGTAGCGAGCTTTCTCACAAGCTCTTGTGCTACTGACCTACCTGGGGTGACGGGAGATGCAGAAAGGACAAATGGTAGAAGACAGACATGCATAAAGTTGGGATCAGGTGTGCTGGGTTCTCAGATGGAGATGCACAACAGCCTCATTGCTTCTTTTCTTCTCTATTCTTTAAAACCTTGCTTCTTTTCTATTCTTTAAAGTCTCTTTCCTTAGACTCAGACTGTCCCATGTTTTCTCTTAAGCTTTCTTAAAGTCTTGACCCTCAGACTCACACTGTCCCATGTTCTCGTTACCTTTTCTTTAGCTTAGCTTCTCTAAAGCCTATGTGTAAAGTTCTCAGTGCAGAAAGATGCTCTGGCAAAGACACACCAGCCAGTGTCAGCATCAGCATCAGCATCAGCCAATCAAAAATCCCCATCAAAAAACCCTCCATCAAAAACCCTCATGTTCTCCTTCAACAAGTCTTTTATATCCAGTGGTAAACAAGGAGGTGGAGCAGCAGTTCTCAGGGAGGGGCGTGACATTGTAACAAGAGAAACCTGTGTTCTTACTTCTTTCTCTGAACATAAACAACTTAAGAAAAGCAGCTGTGCTGCATTTTGCCTCTCGCTCTCCTCTGCAGCTGGGGCTGTGCCAAACACAGCCTGTAGATCACTGAGCACAGCTGTGCTATGTCAAGTTCTCAGAGGCATCTCATAATCCACTCCCCACACTTTCTCGCACAGTCTGACACACTGCAAAGCTCCATGAAAGTCAATACCATCATCATTCTTTATGGTCTGGAAAACATCAGCTGAAACTCTGAGGCTGACCTGCCAGGCCCACAGTGCTTCTTCCTTCTCCCCACCCCACCCCTCTCTCAGTGAGAAAGCTGGGTTGTCTGGCTCCTGTACACACAAGAGTTCATAAAATTCCAGAAGGTGCCGACCACACAATCAGAAGTACCAAGAACATTGTCTCTGGGCTCACGCACATCTGGTTTGCTGGAAACTACTCCTTAAGAAACTGTGGGCTCCTGGTATAAAAAGGATCAGAGAGGCTGGGTGCAGTTGCCCAAACCTGTAATCCCAGCTACTCAGGAGACAGAGATCAGGAGGATCATGGTTTGAGAGACCGTATCTCAAAAAAAAAAAAAAAAATCACAAAAAAGGGCTGGTGGAGTGGCTCAAAGTGTAGGCCCTGAGTTCAAACCCCAGCACCGCCAAAAAAAAAGGAGGGTGGGGAGCAGAGATTAACTAATGTATTCGTACTAACCCTTAAGAGGGAAAGAGCCATGACTAGGGACATCGCTGCCAGCTGCGGCCCCACCTTCGTGGCTGACTGCCACTGCCCACTTCCTACAGCATTCAGCCTTCTCCTCAGCGAGCCTCACTGAGCAGGCTCTGGAGGAAAAGTGGACATTCACAAATGTCTGCATGGTCATGTCCAGTGTTCTCACCAAAGGACCAGGGCCAGCAGGATGACATTCTCACTCAGAAGGCAAGACATCAGCCAAGGCCAAGGGAGGTTGTAGAAGAGCCCAGGACGCAGGCAGGGGACATTTCCTTGTGTTGTTAGGACCTGGTTCTCACCACATCTCACAGGCCTGAACTCATAGGCAGGAGGGGCCAGACACCATGGATAAGCTGGTGCCCGGCAGGGAGTGGCTTTCTGAGCATCCCAGCTTTTCTCTGGGAGACACATGGCCATCCGCCCTTCAGAACCTCCAGCGGTCGGCAGTCTATTATTTCTGCCAATGAATGGATGGCAGAAGTGACAAGTGACATGTGCCACCACCACCAGGGTCTGTTATGATGTTTCCCTGTGCCATGAGACCTGCTAGGGTTATACTTCCGGACATGCAGGCCAGTTCACCAAGATGTGGCAACTAAACAAGCTTCCTGACATAGTCACAACCCTCTGTGAAGACCTGCAGGAAAGGAAAACCATTTTCCAATCCACTCAGCAGAGAGAGGCCAGGGTGAGCAGTATCCAGGGCCATACATGGAGCTGTGACAGAGCGAGCTGGAACCCTGGCTTCCTGGCACCCATCTGGTGTGTCCCTGCCACCGCTGTGGAGTGGGCACACTTCCATGCAATCTGCACATCTCCCCAAGGCCCCCAGGGCTGGGGTTTGTGACCTGGCAGAGTCTCTCAACAAGGCGGATGCTGAGTGCAGATGGGGGTGCAATGAGCAAGAAGGCTACAGCCTGGGACTCCATCGATTGAAGCGAGCAAAGCATGGTTCATCCAGAGGCCTCAGCAGGCACCACTCTCAGGGTGGGAGGCTGTTGTCATGGCAACCATGAAGTTGCTGGAGCGAAGGATGGAGGTGGCCTTGCCAGGGCCTCCCCCACATGGAGACAAGTTTTTCTCCAAAAGCTGACTTGGCTACAAGCGTGAGCTGCAGGCTCTCAGGACACAGCGTGTGAGGTCTGGCAGGGGCTCCTGGCTGCCACCGCACAATGCACAGGTGACGATGGCCATTTAATTCTGGAATCCAGAAGTTCAAGATTGAGGTGACTGCAGGGCCAGTTCCTTTGAAGGTCCCTCTCTGGGCTTTGAGGTGGCCAGTGCTCCTTGTGCCCTCACACAGCCCCTGTGTGTCACTCAACCTTGGTGTCTGCACCCTCTTTTTTTTTCTTTTTTGGGTGGGACTGGGGTTAGCTCTCAGGGCTTCACACTTGCAAGGCAGGCACTCTACAGCTTGAGCCATACCTCCAGTCCATCTTACTCTAGTTATTTTGGAGATGGGGGCCTGGGCTGGCCTTGAACCATGATCTCTGGATCTCAGCCTCCCGGGTAGCTGGGATTACAGGTGTGAGCCACCAGCGCCTGGATCATTTTATCTTCTTATAAGGAAACCAGTTAGACTGCACTAAGGCTGAATTTTAACCTGTACACTCCTTAAAATCTTTGTCCAAATACATTCACATGGGAGTCCTGGGGTCAGCACTAGAGCACATGAATGGGGGACACAGCTGGGTGTCAGCAGTCCCCCTTCTCTGCTCAACCCTTGGGGATCAGAGGCCAGACTTCCAGCCTGCAGGGCCTCAGGGGACAGAGAAGGAGGGCTTCACTCCAAGTTGGCAGAAGCCCCTGGAGGGCTGAGAGCAGGAATGTGAGTTGCCTCATGGTGTTAAACCTTGCTGTCTCACTGGAGACCATGTGAGGACACGAGGGAAGACATGGCTAACAGTGGGGACAATGACACTGGGCCTCGATTGTGCATCACACACTGTGCCTGAGGACCTCAGGATAGCCCTGGCATGTGACATGGTGGGGTTACAGGCACGGAGTCCACAGGGATTGGCCAAGGCCATAGAGGACAACCTTGGGGCCAAAGTTGGAAACCCAGCACTCAGCATTCCTAAGTCTAAAGAGGGAGGTCAGAGAGGTCACAGGGAGACACAGTGTAAGAGGTGACCAGTGGCCTGGAGGTGGTGGAGGGGACTGGCAGCTGGGGTCCTGCATTCTGAGGGTGCAGCCAGGGCTCACAGAGACTTGT